TGAGCCAATCGCTCCCGTATGAACAAGTTCGTAGTTCAAATATTACTTATCAGAGATTAAGGTTAACAAACTTTTCAGTTGTCCTTTAGGTACGTAAATAATGTAAACATAATATATATGCATATATGCATACATACATGCACGTATGTAAATTAGCGGTTTACTGCACAAAATATGATACATTTATGTATATTATAATAAATCTGAACGTACAAAAGTTCACAAATACGTGCATACACATCTGCACACATTCTATTGTAACACGTATACATTATGTTAATACGGAAATGCGCCTGATACTATGCAACATTTACTAATCAGTGTGCATAAAACACACTCTATGAAACGGTGGCCAAGAACAATGCAAAATTCTCAGCTTTCTATACATATGCGGACACCGTCAAAGCCCGTTATGCAGATATAATGATAATCATTCTTTTTCTGCTTATTTCTTTTATTTGTTATTTCATTTTTTTTTTTTTTTTTAATCTTTTTTTTTTCTCGTTTTGGGTAAAGTTTTTGTTTTAAAGGTAAGCAACCTATTGTGCTTTTAGGATGTGTTTCGGGTATTGTGCGGCGCTTGAGTTCTTTCTGAGTTTCTGATGACACAACGCATTTTGATTCAATGGTAAGAAAAACTTTAAAACCAACATAAACCACAAAAACATTCACTTTTAGAAGCCTTTATGTATGCGGATACGATAGCTATGAGTTTTTCTATTACATCAAATTTTCTATTAATTATTAACGTGCAGCAAAAACAATAATGTTTTAAATAAAGTTGAAAGTTAAATGCATAAAAACCTATAAGCAATGGCTTTTTGGTTGATTTTATATATTTTTCTTTTTTATTATTTTTTATTTACCCTAAAAACTATGCTACATAAACGATAACCATAGTTTTTGTTGAAGCTTAAGGTTCTTTACGTGAGTAGCTTGTTGAAGATAAGTGAAATCACTTTTTTCTTCCTTTTACTTAGATTCATGTTTTTTCATGGTTTTTAAGGTTTTTTTCATTATTTTTAATTAAGCAAGAAAATCATACTCATAGGTTGCATGTGTGTGGTTACATAATTCTATGCAGTTTAGGAAACCATAAACAATTTAATTTTATTTTCAAGTAAAAAAAAAAAACGGAAAAGAAAACGTGAAAAACGTATACACACGTTAAGTTGAATTTTAAATACCCATCAACCGAAAGCATCAGGAGATGAAACGATTGGAAATTACAGTAAAACATGGGGCGATGCACCTGTTTCTAGCCATGATCACTGGCATTCAACCATTAACTGGACGTAAAATTTTTTTTTTTTTTTTTTTGATTTTGCTGATCGTAACCAAGAAGCTTAATGTTACCAGGTTCATCTAGCGTCTCGTTCTAAGCTTTACAATACACATTTTATAGAAAGTTTTTTAACGTTACCAACGGAACGACAAGTTCATTATACTTCCATCGTTTGTGGTGAATAAAAAAAAACTAGGTCTTTTCATGCATATTAAATTCTGAGGTAACATATTTAATCACAATAAAATTAAATCATTGATATTTTTTTAGTTCTCATTAAGTAATCAAGCATTTAACCCGTAAAATTATGCAAATAAGGAAAAAATTGAAGGCATACCTTTAGGCAATTTGTTATTAATGTCACTTTTTAAAGACTAATTTCGCGAAAAAAAACTGGCACTTAGAAAATCAAGAGAGTATAAATCGAAAGTGTTACGATGTTCTGCAGACGAATGAATGAATCAATTGCATAAAGACAACGATAATGATCAGTGAATGGAAAACATTAAAATTCGTTTGAAAATACAATAATATTAGTGATCATATGAAACTTGGATTGAAAATATATACAAATTATATCAACTAGAGATAAGAAAGGCCCTACGTACTTCGTTAATTACACACTTTACGGAAAAGAAAACCTATAATATATGCTTATGTTAAAAGGGATTAAATATCAGGAGATCAGAACGTCACGTTTTAGCCTTTGAAGCAATATTTCAAAGTAGTAATAAAATGTGAATAAGAGAATAGAATTCGAATACATTTTCGAAATGCAAGGACACTGTGGAACTGCCTTTAAAAGCCAAGATATTAATACGCATTCAAAAATAGCGCGAAACACTCACACATGCATCCTTTTAAAATTCCAAAATAACTCTTCTGGCTTAATTACATTTTTAATATTATCGAGCAAGGGTAGTGGAATATTAAAAATAATATTCTCTTCTTAAATCCGCAAGAAAACGGGCAGAAGAAGCGTTGTGAGCTCTTCATTTAAAAACCAAATTGATCTTTTACTGCTTGAAAAATTCTCGCACAGAACCCTCTATGAAGCGGCAACATTTCTTTTATCTGGTCAATTTTGATCTGTTTTTGAAAACCCATCACTTAAACTTAACGCGAGGAAATACTTCAAAACATAAAAAAGAAACTAGACGAAGGACTTACAGGACCGATTATATTCCGAAGTTCTTACAACTAGTAAAAAACAAGTGAAAACGCTGAGGAAAAACAACATCTCGTTAAATATCCTACGCCATGCTGTTCAACACAGCTGTTCACATAGCGACCATACAAAATTAGGCTTTATATGGGGAGTGGTCGAAAAAATTCCCCGATTTGAACTATTTTCAATTGCATTGAGCCTAAAACACTCCGGTATACTGAACTTCAGCAAAATATGTCAAGCATTGCGGCTGGTAAGTGAAACAAAAAAAAATAACACAGAAAAGCGTGCATCGATGCAAAACGTGATCTTGAATCAATCGGTATAACAAAAAGCGGATCTATCTTATCTCTGTATATCCGCACAAACTTAATATACCATAGTGCCAAAAGTGGCGTACCGTATAATGGATTAAAAGTAGTAAAGCGCATGAAATATGTCAAACATGTCAAATATACCAGTATAAAAGTCGCAGTCGTCTGAATTAGTTGTCAGAAGTTTTCATGGTAATAATTTCTAATAATCATAAATATTTTGGAATTCATCCTTGTGGTCGTAATGTCTTCAGCATCTTCAGCATACATATATATTTGCTTAAAGTATTGCAGAAGATTCTTTACGTTCAGATAGATGTGATTTGTTACCATCGACTCAAGAGGCTAAGCGTCAAAGGGACAATATAAAAAATTGCAAATGTACTTACCATGTATAACCAATTCGGGATTATGGTTCAATTCATGTAAGCGTATTGCTTCATCTAACTCCATTTGGGTAGACAGCGTGCACGGATCATTTTCCTCATCTATCCATTTAATTGTGAAGGGCTTAAACGATCAAATGCAAACAATTTTTAACTTAATTACATTTTTCAATCCAATGCATTACTCACTTGATCCACAGCAAATCGGCAATTTTTACGTATCTCATCGCATAACTCTTCATACGTTATATTCTCTTGAATATAACTGATCATTATCTCCGTATTATAAAATGTTTTGACTTTAATTTCATTGTTGGCCCCCTCGCCACCAACATCGGGTAGGATTTGTGAAGGCATTTTCTGCATTGGTTTTAAAAATATATGTATTTACGGACGGCTGATTTAAGTACTTGTTTAAATTGTTATGTGGAATTTGCTTTTGCACAAGGAGGCAGTAAAATTAATTTGAAAATTATTTTTTTCGTTTTTTTTATAAAATAAATTTTTTTTTACAAAATAGGTTTTATTTGTAAAATGAAACATGCACATTAAAACTTAAATTAAACTGAAAACAGAAAAGATAAAAAATAAAATTAAGTTAATATTTTGAAATTGTTTCATAACAGACAAATAAATAATCAAATAAAAATTTGCTCCCTTTTTACAAATAAGTTTGCTTTTGCCTCTGAAAACGAGGCTGGCAGCTCTGTTACTTATGAACAGCATCCTCCCTTTTTTTATGTAAACAAAAAATTGCTCATATTCTTGCGAGAACCAAGAATCACATAAGAAGAACATCAACAAGTGGTTTTTTTTTTCGTTCTTAAAGTTTAGTTAACTGGGTTCACTGTATTACAAAATTTTTTAATTGTAACAATAAAAGTGAAGCAATTAAATGAAGGAAAGAAGAGGTAACAAAAACTTTTTAAGACTTTCCCACAAGCAAACGGCATAATTAAATTTTCCTACACTAAATAACCTGTCGGCAGACATTATCAGAGGCAGAATGCACACAACTGCTTATTTTCTAGTATTAATAACCTTTTTTGAATTATATATGTTTAATATTTTTGTTTCCAACTTACTTATTAGCTTTATTCTTAAAAATATTCACTAGATTTAATTGAATTTTTCAGATTTTTACACAATATTTACAATTTTTTTTTTCTTTTTTTCTTGCTTTTTTGCTTCTTTTCTTATGTTCGTTGAAGAGAGAGTTGTTGTTAGCACCGACACCACAAAAAATTTATTCTTTTCAAAAATTTATGTTTTTCTTTTTATAAGCATTTAATTCAAAACACGCTCAATAAACAATTTTTATAAAATACAAATTTAAAAAAAAAAAAATAAACAACAAAACCATTTAACAAAATACAGCTTTATGAGATTTTTGTTAGAGAAGAACAAAAAAAAAGTAAAATCAACGCAAATTTTTTTTTTTTTATGTGTCATTCACAACAATTTAATGTAATACACCATAGATAAAAGTCATCAAGGTGAGAAATATTCGCATGCTTTCGATAATTTATTTTATCGATATTATCTTTGAATGATTATCGCTTTGAGAAAATTTCTGTATAAAAGCGAAACGGAACATCGGTAATAAATTTGAAAAGTTCACAAGCAATAAAAGCAGTTATTATGATGCGGCGTAAAATTTACCGTAATAATTATCTCTAATAAATTTTTTTCCTGAAAAGAAACGATAATCTATCCTACTTCATTTCAACCGTTTTCGAAACTCAATTCGAAACTCTCTCTCTCTCTCTCTCTCTCTCTCTCTCTCTCTCTCATGTGCTTGCAAGTTATGTGGTGAGTTGCCAGACAGATCGAAATAAACAAACATAATGGGGTAATCATTATTATGTATACTTAGGTGAATACAGAGGTTTTATATTCTACACCACTTGTGGCACAAGGTACAATATGTTAGCGCGAAGTATGTAACACGCAAAAGGGCTTAAGATAGATCCATCTTTTATGATACTGATCAATTCAGAATCATAATCTGAATTAATCTAATTGTCTGTCCATCTATGCAGATCATTTTCAAAATTTCATGGCAAAAGTAGCTAAGTAGCAATATTTCGGCATTCTAAATTGGTTTGAAAACTTGGGACCAGCTGAGGCAATTTTTGAACTCTTTTCTTACCGAAAACTGAACTGACGACAAAAAGTAATTTAACATGAAAAAGTCAACTGTATCAAATATGCTTTTATACGGCAATAAGATATAATTTTTGTGTTCTATAATAAAAATAATAATTGTGTTAGACAATGTGATGTAGCTTGTGTAAGGCGACCTCGCCCAACTGTAATGTTCTTACTTGCTTGTAAATGCGGTCTTTTCTCTGGCATTCATATATCATGACAGACCCTCCACTGTGCTTTTCAGTTGATAATAAATTTTGGTTTGCCAGTCTCCTCCTTCGTTTTGTGTTTATCATCGTGTTCGAATATATCAAACTTAGATTCGTCACCAAAAATTTTTACCCTCGAGACATTTTATCATATTGACTTAAAATATTTTGAACTGTTTCAAAATTAATACCAATTGGCTTATGTTTTCCTAACTTTTTTGCGATATCAACAGGAGTAGTTTTGAATGCACTTGTTACAATTGCGATAATTCCTCGTTTTTCGTCCTCTGTAAGTTTGTTTAGCTGATCTGATTGGTGTTTGTGCTATTATAATTTTTATATCCACCATCGAAGGATCGACTCATTAGGTTTTTTTTCATAATATAACTAACACCCAAAAGGAAGCCGCAGAAGCCCTATAACGTGTATATATTCTTGATCAGCGAGAAATTAAATTGATTAAGCCATGCCGGTCCATTTGGGCGTCTGTGTGTCGGTGTAGTGTTTGCTGTTGGCACTCTCCTGGCCGAAAAAATGAATTTATTGACGTCAAATTTGGTAGAAACATTTGGACGCAGGCTGGTGTTGGAAATAGGTCAAAGTGGTCAGAGCAGAAGCCCGCAGTGGAACGTAAACTGAACGGAACTCCGTTTTTCTTAACAAAAATTTGTGGGTTTTTGCGCTTTACTCAGGAATTATAAAAGTTAGAAGGCTGATAATTTCCACATTTCCTTTACCGAGTACTCTACTCTTGATATACAAAATCTGAAAAAATCGCCCATGCCCACACAAAGTTACGAATGATTGAATTTTCTTTTTTTTTCTCTTTTTTGTGCTTATTTATCATAAGGTAAACCAGACAGAATATTTAAAACTATATTGTTCATGCTCCTGAAATGAAGACATATTATCTGCCTAAATATGGGTTAATTCTAACACGAATATGGTAGACATTGCCGCCTGATAGATCAACTTTTTCTTAATAATAACACCGATATGGAACCAATCGGATGCCACGCCTATAAAAATTGTATAAAACTATTCAGGAGATGTACAAGGGGATATGAATGCATATTTTTGATACATTTATATAATAAAGAATATATATTACATTTCAACCAAACCATTTCTGTGAATATATATGGAAA